AGAATCGTAATTTGCCGCTCCGCCGCGCGCGGCGATGGCGCGGCGTTTTCTTAACTCGTGTTAACCTGTCGATGGAGCACCGGACTTCATGTAGACCCCGTCATCGTAGACATTCATGACTATTTTCGGTTCTGAATTGCCTGTTGTCGCCATCTACTACCTGGAACCATCGTCATTTGCGGGCGCGACGTCGCACGCGACGCCCACCAGCGCAGTATGATTCTCTTGACACATACCCCTACTCAGACAGTTAGAGTGGCCGCGGATACTTTTACAGAGCAGACAGTTTCTACGCGACTCTGGCCGTCTGCGCTCAAGCCTAAGCATTGGATAAGAAAGAGACGCACAGGCGCTGTGAGTGGTCCCTTCTCCCCTCAAAATGCGTCGGCGCCGATAACTGATACTGAAGTTGAAAGCAAAAAGTAGCTGAACAACCTGTTCAAAAGTCTGTGGCCGAAGTAGCTTACCTTTTGGATATTTGTATTCCACGTCGGTGTCAATACCAGCGCAAGCGACACTACCGTACAAACGATCCATAATGTGTGCCAGTTCAACTGAAACTACTCGAATTCAGTAGGGAACCACCAAGGACGCCGCGACAGCGAGAGTCCCGCCCACTGCTTGCGGCCCATCCACTTTTTGTGTGTGCCCTATTCCGGTGTGTTTGGCGGCGCGTCGATCCAGACACAGAATGGCGACGAGAAGAGAGAAGTAGGGCGTGTCCGTGAGGCTGTCACTGTCTACTTACTGGTTAGCCGCCGAGGCACGCTCTTCAGCGGAGCTATTCGTTCACGGCGTTATCCCGTGAGCCTTTTGTACAACTCACCAGCTCTGATTGGTCTCGGAACTCCACCCACAAAAACTACGCGACGAAGATTGATTGGCACGTTAACGTCTACTAGATAGTCAGCATCAGCCAGACGCCATGGGCGGATTTGAACTTTCTGAAAAAATAAGGAACCCAAAATGGTCAGTGCGAAAAGTAATAAGCAGTACGACTGAAGTCTAATGGCCGCCTCACGCTGGTGGTATAGGTGGAGACAGTCAATCATTGCATCTTCCTCATGGGACTCTCCTCTTGACCGTTCTAGAAGGTGAGGTACACTTAGAGGGAAGACGCAGTGCTTGACTGTCTCCGCCTAGCATCAGCGTATACTGCCCGAAAACCTGTTCCATCCTAGTCACTCAATTTGATCAAAGTCGCACAGCACCAGAGAACCACTTACGAGTTTTTCGGTGCTCATCGGTGAGCTGATGAAAAGGAAGAGTTTTTCGTCTTCAACTGTGCAGTGCTGGACCAGGGTCCTTACCGATGTTTCATGATCAAAAATCAGAAAGACGTAGCCTAGAAAGATAACACTGAGCGGACATCCGCCTCACGGTTGCTGCCTGAGAGGCAGGTATTACTGCTGATGCCTGTTGTATAGTGAAACTTGCACAGAGAATGTAACACCTTCAATGGCAAAGCTTGAAAAACTAGGTGGGAAGAGGGTCTCTGGAGTTTGTCTATATTCAATCATTAGGCCGCTTGAGCAACAACTTGGCAGCACATAGAAGGGTATAGCCGCTTTCTACCCTCCACAAATGCCCGATTTTCTACGGAGCAGAAACGAACCTTTTCTTTTTTGGTGCAGTGGCGCGGGGATCGTGAGTGGACGGGATCTGCTAGACAAGATTAGCACTGGCACTGTGTGTTTTTCGCAACGGCGATGTGTAGCAGGAAAATCCTGAGGCGCCGCGCTAGTGGACCTGCACAGTGACGGAAAGGCGAGCTATGGCAGCGTTCAGACTTCGCGACGGCAGCGCTTCGGTCGCGCGTTCGACGCGATCGATGCAGTCAAAAGCATGCGCATCGATCGCGTCGAACGCGCGACCGAAGCACTGCCGTCGCGAAGTCTGAACGCTGCCTATCGGATTTCTGCGCGGCACCTTACGACTTTCCTGCACAAGTCTCACGCGGCACAGGTCGATCATTAGTGTGGAACGCTACCAGTCAGGATGAAACACTGTTTCACTGGGTTTTTTTAACCTCCTTATTTTTTCACCCAAACGACAGGGCACCAGTTCCAGAATCTTTGTTGAAGAGCAACGCTAACCTTTTGGCGGGAAGTAGCTCTTGGTCTCGTTCTTATTTGGCCAATCCACGACCAGCGATCCGAAACGAGCGAAAGTTTCCACTAACTCGTCTGAAGAAGCAGACTAGGAGGAAGGTGAAGAACATGGACAAAGGCACTTGTGTGTCTACCTTCCGGTTCGATATTAATAGGTCATCTCACTACAAACACCTTCCTGCTGTTAGAATTTCACCTGTGGGGTCCCGAGCGTTGTTATTCGGTGTAGTACTCTTGATTTCAGAGGCACGGCCTTAATAAATTATCATACAATTGTTTGGTCAGTTGCATACAGTTCTAAGTAAGTGTTGCCCAGTATGTGGCGACCAGAAAGCTACTCAGGGTGGCCGCTGGCCACAGTACAGGTTATCCTGATTGCGTAGTACTTTCATTTTTGTACATTAAAGACATATCCTTCTGCGATTAATTGTTCGGTGTTAATTGAGCTGCTCAGATCACGACGAGTGGCCCATCTGTAATTCCCCCTGTGAGACACTAAAGTCGAAAAAATTTACCCGCGACACACCCTGAAACAGCAGACGCTCCCTTTTGAGCAGTGGGTCGGGCAGCTGGACGAGCACGAAGTGTGCACGGACTGTGGCTACCAATATGCGATGCGCCAGCCGAAATGATGCTCCATTAGTACTTATTCGAAATAGGACGACATTAAAGGCGACCGGAAGTTCACTCGGGGGAATGCCGGACGCCGCGTCGCCACTACCAGTGTCAGCGGAGCCTGTAGCCGACGTGCCTAGTGTGAGAAATCGCATATAACTTCTTATCGCCAGCCATAGTTTGAATGATGACGTGTATTATCCTCAGGCTCAAGGCAGTAGAGGACGTTCAAAAGAGCACGAATGTCATTTTGAGGACACTTATCGTCGAGGGAGTCTATTAAATCAACTAGGTCGCATGTGATCAAATGCGCATCGCATACGGCCGCTGTCGCACTGCGTCATCCAAACACGAATCTCCTCACTTCGCACACATGTCTGACAGTAGTCTGGAGTGAGTTGCGACGAACTATGAGTCGCTGACACCATGCGGAATGGCTGCTGGAACGAAGACGAGCTCCCACGAGATTCGCAATCGGCGTTAAATGTAATGCCACTTTCGAAAAGTTTTTGAATCCCTTGACACAGGTATTCGTGCGCAAGCATAGTCGTATCATATTGCTCGCTGATCATATTCAGGTCGGTCCTCTGGAAATGGGCGTTTGGAATAGTAAAAAGGGCATCGATTGTGAAGAGAAAATGGTGGCGTTTCTTTCTTCAGCATTGGGCACGAGGTACGCCGGAAATTCCCAAGCGAGAGTCGTGTTTGGCTGCTGTTTAGAAGCGCTATGTCCCCTCCCCTCACTCTTTCGGGGAAAAACTAAAAAGTTCTTCTGGAACACGGGGAAAAGTGGTAGTAGGTTAGGAATGCTCGAGAAAACAGAATGGGGAAGGAGATGAAGAGTAGTGGGTGGAGTTGAGCCTACCAAAGTGCCTTCATCTGGCGAATTTTCCGCTCCAGGTAGTGAGAGAGAGAGCCCTTCTTCCACTCTCGGCCAGTAAAATCAAGTTGGTCCAAGCGCTGCTCGCGGCACATTTGATCGTTTCAGTTCTGCAATTTTGCCGTGCGCGGCGCTCCCCTTGACACAACTATGGGCGTACAATGAATGGTAGTTTTTTTAGCTACCCGTGAACCCTTATAGGTTATAAGCCCTTCTGAATGCTGGAAGAACAGAAGCCACGACCAGCTACTAGAACACGTCTTCTTTCGTTGCTTACCTCGCTGCTAGTCCATCCAACACGAGGTCCATCTCCAGACTGTTCTGCCACACTGCTGCCACTACCAGACGATGAAAGCCCTCAACAGTCACTGTCTGTTCCACTCGGTGAAATATTCGGATACTTTCTCATTAATCGTTGGTTTTTGTTTCTGCATGGAAAGCAGACCATGTCATGGAGCATGGCGGTGTGGCCCCATATCTAGGGTTGCAGTACCATCAACGCCCGGGACCGCAGGTCGGAGCGAAAAAAATGGGCGGTTATGTCAGCCCTTGATTCTGTCTCACTCATCCTTTGACCTTGCCTTACCAAGACTGGTACCAAGAAGTGTCCCATGCAGCAGGACAGGATTAGGGATGAGATGTCCGCCCATTTTCTCTTCTGACTCACTATCCCCTGGCGTTAACGGTGATCCAGAGTTCTGACTACTATTCATATAACTAGTTTACTAGATTACTCATGTATAGCTGACATAATTTCAAGTGTGCGATTCAGGAATCGTTGCTCT